AACTAATGGCATGCATTCCCACCACACGAATCTGATAGGAAGGAAGGATATGTTTGTCAGGAGACATATTTTTCCTGCTCTCTCATGCACTGAATGAAGTACGAAATTGCATAGTGCACCAGTGATGTGCACCGTGATTCAACTTTCTGAATATAACTTTTCCACAGTCGTGTTGGGTGTCGTTGGACAGCCCGTGACATTTGCTAGCTATTGATGTCATTCTGATCGCTGTATCAGTTCTGTGAAGGAAATTACAGGAGGGAGTTGATTTCAGGGAAATTTTTGTACAAGTGTAGAGAGGGAGGTATTGGGGGTTAAGGGCTGTAGACCACCCCCCCCCTATCACGTGTCCACCTCGTGAGAGAGGGGGTGGCGTCGTGAGGCAGGTGCGCCATTGACCAAGGCTCCTGGGCCTCAGGAATGCTGAACCGTGATTGGTCAACACGCTGAGGGGTGCTGCATGGTATCCCCGGGGCCGTCTTGGCGGGAAAAAATATTCTTACCTAGAACGTTGCTATGAGAGGACGTAATTTTCCGTGCTAGGCCAAGCATCGGGAAATACTGCCTGCAACGTTACTAAAGTCACGCCTATCATCTTGCTATCTTTCCGTGTGCCGTCCGTAAGAATCCGGTAGATCGGAAAGGTGCATGTACCGAACCAGTGTGAACTTTTGTCATCTAAGCCGTGTGATTGTGAGACGCCATCTCAGAGCAACTGGACTGAGTGAGGCTGTTAATTATCGACCTAGGTTAGTGACATCCGCCGTCTATCGTATCTGTGCTTGATGGTACTGCAGTGAGACGTGCTAGAGAAGGTTTCAGTGTTATGAGAGAAACCATAAAATTCCTAATTCCGAGGAATTAGAAAGGAACAGTGATGGACTCCGTCTCGGGTCTCGTGTACCGTGTAACACCAAGTACCGTTGTATCCTGGGGTACTGTGTCAAGTGGATGGGCGTGGTACCGCATCCCCGTTATGTAATCTGTTGTGCGTGCACTCTGGTCTGCCTAAGCCGGCGTGTTAGCGCCACCTGGTCTCTGTGTTTGGAGCTAACCCCGTGGTCTAGGACCCTGTGCTCCAACTGACCACGTGTAGGAAGTGAGGACGCCTACGTCATCATCCAGCAAGTAGCAGTGGGAGTGAGGGTGGTGACGTGTATGTGAGTGAGTGTGTGTGGCGGGCCCGCGAGATTGATGTAAGTACACTATTTCCGTTTTGGGTAATAAAACGCTGAAGCTGGTTTCGCCCCCAGTGTTCCGTCTGTCCTCTGTCCCTGTGACCACCTGGGGAGGTGAATGGGAATTGGAGATGTGTGAGTTTACCCTGTTGCCGTCACCAAGTTGGGGTTGAGCCCAACTGTGGGTTTGACGTGTGTGAGGACACCAAGAGACACATTCAGTGGTGGAGTAAAGTGAGTTATTTGCTTCTATTTTCTCTATTTGCCGTGTATGTAATGTGCTGTAATTTGATTCCCTTTTCCAGCAGTGAAAGTGGTAACAGGGAGGTTTCCCTTTGTTATAAATAATTCCCATTATTATATTGGCCAGCGCTTATTTTACTGTTGTGTTTTGGTAAAGTGTGAATTATTGGTGGATAATTTACTGGGGGAAGTCATTTACAAGTTTTGCCGTGAGTGGCAAGGATCTACTGTGATGTACTGTGTTGTACCGTGTGTAAACCGTAGACAAGTTTGTCCTTGGTGGAAGGCGTTGTGTACTGTGAAGGATCCCGTGAGAATTAAAGTCATTTAACGTCACCGGGGGTCACGATTTACTTAACGAGGTCACTTGTTTCGTTGAACATTGTTGTGATTAACGTAGAGACGTGTAAAGGCAACAGTCACAGTGAAGTTCTCGCAGTGGAGGAATTGTCAAGTGAAGACTAACGTAGTGTTAACGATTTAACGAGCTGTCATTAAATGATTGATTAACGTAAGGGGTTGACCGGTCTGTTATGATCGGAGTCAATTGCGCTGTAATTAAGCTGCTTTAATTCGTTGGACTGATCAGATCTGTCTGCGGACAGAGGGATTAAGCACTCGTAGCTAATTAAAGAGAATTAGTTACCGCCACTTAGTGAATATACCAGGTGTTGATGTTGTTGTTTACACGGTGTGTGTTGTAACCTTGTCTGGTACAGTAGTCTACCCTCGTTAAGGTAATCTTGTCGTAAGACCGGAAGTGAACTGTCAGTTGAGAGACAGTAGGCTTTATCAATACTCTTCTGAAGTAGTAGTGGTAGGCGTGGGTAGTTTAAAGAAAACGGGATATCATCACCACATACTATTATAATTCACCAGCTATTCTGCTGGGAATTGTTCTTAAATACATTAGTCTTTGGACTTTACCATCATAAAACATCTTATATAAATTAACTTAATTATCAATATTAAAGTAGAGTAAATGTGACCCTTCTATCACTTTCTGACATGTGGACAATGTAAGCCAGGCGTCAGAGTGGGGAAGGAGGGGCAGCCATTGTTGTGTCACCTCCGGGACGTGTGGAGCAAATTCGGCTCCTATCATATCTGGACAATGTCGGCCAGTAACGTCAATAGTATGGAGTGTTAAACAGCCATTGTTGATACTAGACCAGAGGCTCACACGGGAGCAAATTCGGCTCCTGTTAAATTTACTTGGACGTAGTGTTATGGAAACTAAAAGTGTACCATTATCAACACGCTGTCTACAAATTCAAGTTAAGTGTCTATCCGAAACCCGTTTATCATTCATTTATGGCCATTAATGTCAGGATATAGGGTGACCCGGTTAGAACGTGAAATCGCCTCATACTAAAGGTAATTAAGCCAGGTCTTTATTGTTCCATGTACTGTATAGTGTTTTCTCTGATATACTTGTCATATATAGGATTCTGGCTTCACAGCTAGCGCACTTTTGACAGGTCAAGACGAGGAAGCAAGATTTGTGCACCAGTTACTGGGTGATATGGAAGCTACCTCAAAGAGGATAATTTGGTGTCTACACCCTAGTTATACCTGGTGGACTAACCTGCTGTACTATAAGATAAGGAACCTCTTCAATGTATGTAGTTAATTCTACAGTTTGATTGGCTGCATATATATAAATATAAACCCCCCCTAATGTGTAGAGGATCGATTTGTGAGATTATGAGATTATTGCAGAAATACAGTCCACTTATCATTATACAAATTGCTATCGAAGTATATAAATTAACGTAAATATAAATTCATATAAATTAAACAAATATAAATCTCACAGGTCGGTTCCCACAGGTAAAGTGGTAGGCCTAGTAGGCTGTTGTATTCAGTAATTAATTGGGAATTACTCACCGAATGCTTGACTTTCAAGTTGATGTAATTAATTGATTTACGAGTTATTGCTGCCATTTAAGTGTCGTTGAGACACGTGTGTGTTAACGTAATTGTTTAAATTCAATTAGAGTAACTTTTGTTGTTGATTGTCCTGAGAGACAAGTGTTAACGTAAGATTTTTTATAAGGGGTTATCATTCTTGGATTAACCGCCTTGTTACTTGGTACCTCGTTGAGGGCAGCGAGCGCCAGTCAAGTTTTGTGATTATAGTATTGGTCACCGTGAAGCCGTGACAATATTGATTGCAAGCTTGCGTCACCAGTGGGCACCACTTTGTTCAGTTAGTGTCATTAGTCAGTCAGCGATGACGGGATAAGGATACTGTGGGTCCATTAGGCTGTTGATTAGCTGTTCTTGAATGTGCCACTGGAGTGACAGTAAAGTAACGTAAATTCTCTATGTAGTAGTTTTAGTTTATTTTGTGAATAAATTGTTTGTTATAGAAAACGGTCGTTTACGTCAAACCTTCCAATATTACTGCCCCACATTTCATGTTCTGCAACGCTTTGCCTGCTTAGGTTCATATTAAGTCTGTATCTAAAGCTCGAGTCCATTGCACAGCACCACACTTCTATAAATAAGAAGTGAGAATCCGTCGGCTACCCTTTATTAGTTGTCAACTAGGAGGAGCCAGAGACCTAAGTGACAGGTGTTACCCGTGTGGTTTCGCCTGGCGGTTTGCTCCCGCGGTCCTATGATCTTAGGCTTTAAGATTAAATATCTACCACTGGCAGCTCTTGCTGTTTAAGGTCTGCCTCCCCCCCCTGCCTACGGGGGGCCTCGTAGCCTGGTGGATAGCGCGCAGGACTCGTAATTCTGTGGCGCGGATTCGATTCCCGCACGAGGCAGAAACAAATGGGCAAAGTTTCTTTCACCCTGAATGCCCGTTACCTAGCAGTAAATAGGTACTTGGGAGTTAGTCAGCTGTCACGGGCTGCATCCTGGGGGTGGAGGCCTGGTCGAGGACCGGGCCGCGGGGACACTAAAAGCCCCGAAATCATCTCAAGATAACCTCAAGATAACCTCTTGCGAGGTAGTTACGATTAACGTAATATTAATAGGAATTAAATCTTTTGATAATTGTCAAAGAAAAAAAAATCTCACAATGTTTATGAGAATGAAGCATATAAATAATGAAAAGAGACCACTTCCCTCTACCACATTTCTCCGCGGAGCCAAGCAAGGGGAGGCATAAGCATACAAAGAAACTTGAGGATAACAAGGAGTGCATATACTCCAATAATCAGTAGAGAGTCTGAACCAGCGGTCCATTGGCCAATAAGATTACTAACCCTTCAATGGCCACTTAACCCAATTCTGACTAAAGGCCACTCCAGCTTGACTAGACGATTGACTTAAGTCCCTCACCAATAAAGTTTTGTTGGGCATGGGCCACAGCCTCTGTGTTAACTCAACGACCAGATGAAGGAATAATAAAGAATGTATGGGTCTCCATGAACGGCAAACACGTAGGTGGAGAAACTAAAGGGTGTAATATACTTGTGTGCCCTTACAACAAAGAGGAGAGGGTTACAGAAGCTTCCCACACGTGTTCTATGGCGGCTCACAAGAACCCCCTCATTACGTTAGAGCTGTATATGTTTACATTATTTTAACATGTAGGGAAAACAAATAACACACTCTGAGTTGACTGAAGCTTGTATATCATATTTTATTCTTACACAGATAAAGCCCGTAAAAAGTCTGTAGGAGCATGAAGAGGATTCTAACCATCTCACTTGGTACTCCCAGGCAAATGCCCTAGACTACTTCACTACAACATGGTCAGAATGTAATGCAATCTGGGATTCCACTGAATCCTCTAGGGGTTCCTGAGGCTTCCAACTGAAGCCCACTCACGGTTTCAAATATTGTCCCCCATGTCCCCTGACTTGTTATCCAGTAGTTATACCTCCAATGCGATGTATCCTACCTCTTAACGTGATGTATCATGTAAATGTGATTTCATTATTCATTTGTCAAGAAGCGTTTGCTTGGGAGCAACAATTGTGCAGGTTCGAATCGTCCTCATGGCTCCTTTTGAATTTCTCATTTATACATCTCATTAATGTGAGTTCATTGTGCATAAAGCAGGTACCTCGTACATAATCGAAGCCACAAAGATAAAGCAAGTGCCTTACACATGATCAAATAAATATGTTTACTTTTCCTTCAATACACTCATGCTATCCACTAGAGCATATTAAATATATTAGTTTATTAACTCTTTGCAACATAATAATTATAATAAAGATTTAAATGTAATTACAGTCTGCAAATTTGTTATCTACAACTGAAAAGATTTTAATTAGGTTGACAAAAAATATTCAATGAAAATTTCACATTTGTAAGCTAGATTTGTATGTGCAGTATTTTTTATGTTATATCAGAGATAATTGATGTGGAGATCTGGAACTTCTCTTGGGGTCCGCGAGCCAACATTGCGGTCAATGTTTGATCTGGAATAATCTTCCTTCATAAGCAGAACGGGAATTATTGAGAGTGAACCAGTACTCAGGAGGACGTATGTTACCCACTTGTAGC